AGCTATCTGGTGCGCATCTTGGCCCTAGGTTGGGCCAAGTTGCGCCCATGTGGTCTATGTTGGGCACATCTTGGGCCCAAGTTGAGCCTATGTTGGGCCTAGGTTGGCCTATGTTAGGCCTATGTTGGCCTAGGTTGGGCCTATGTTGGCCCCATGTTGGCCTATGTTGGCCCTATGTTGAGCCATCTTGGAGGCTATGTTGGGCATATGTTGGGGATATGTTGGCTATCTTGGGCCTATGTTAGGGATATGTTAGGCAACTTATGTGCCCAACATCCACGAAATGTCGATTAAGCCTGTCTGCGCTGCACGCATAACTGACACCACGGGCACCCTGTCGTGGACGCCGAATGCCACGAAACACTGTAAAAAACGATGTTTTTTAACATTTTTCGAACATCCAGCGCAAGATACATATAAATCTGTCGGGCGGATTCGGGCGGGGGTATACGCGAGGTCCAACAAAAGGGTCGGCGGCAGGGCGCGCGAGCGTATATAACCTTCGGTTACCAACCGAAGGCCTCCGGCAAGGGAACGTGCGCGTGGCCGGCGCCCGGATTTAAAGGCTTACGCCTGACAGCCGGGCGCCGGCGCACTTGGGTAAGAGAGTTCTGGGTCGAGGCGGTTGGTGTCGCTCGCGGTGTTTGCGGGGTGTGGTTTCGGTGAGGGACCCGCCACGTTTCCATGGAGTCTTCCACGGAGAAGACGGGGGCCGGGGTTTGGGGCACCCCGGCAGCACTCGTCCGAGGGACGGGGGCTGACTGCCCTGGTTGCTTGCAGCAACCAAAAGTCGGGAGAGCCGTCGGAGAGAGAGGAGGCACATGGAGCGCGATGCACGCTGGGAGGCGGCAGCTGTCAGCTGGCAACAAGTGCGTCGCTCACGCCAGCCAGCCACAGCCCTGGTGAGGACAGGCAGACGTCGTTCCAGCCTCAAGGACATTGTCTGCAAGTTGATGCGCCAGCGAGGCCGGCGGGGGTGGAGAGGTTGGGGGTTGAGGCGTCGACGCCGCAAGTCGGAGACGCAGGGTGGCAAAGGACTTAGACAGCATGCCACAGAGAGTAGTTAGCAAGAAACAGTCGACACCGGAAAGGGGACAAACAGTCGACACCGGAAAGGGGAAAGATACAGAGACTGGCGAGACGTGGGCTCAACGACAGGCGAGCCTGTGAACAGAGCAAGAGCATGTGCAAGCGAGAAACAGCCTCCAACCCAAAGACACCAGAAGCAACCAGCGCTGAACTCCCAGAGCGATAGGATAGCCAAGAGTAGAGTGCAAGAGAAGCTAGGAGACGGCTAGGGTTGGAGAGCAACAGCAACCAAGCACACCTGACCTTTTTTATCCCCGTTGAAATGTCCTCTACAAAAAGGGAGAGCTGGAGGCCCTTGCAAAGGGGCTATTTTGTAACGAGGCAGTTTTTGGCACCTATCGAAGACCATTTTTGTAGAGAAATCACCTTGCTGTATGGATGGCTATGCGCCTGTAAGCATAAGATAGCAATCTTGAGGCAGCATCATTTTGTAGTACATGCCATTTTGTAGAGGGCAAACCAGCTTGGGTCAGAGCTTTTTGTAGACCCCAAACTTGGTCCCGTTACAAACGGTTCGCCCCAACCTCTCCCCCTTTGTTTTAACGGGGATCCTTTTTTTTTTGCACTTTGTGTTCGGTTTCAGCGGGGGGGGCGTGTGAGTAGGGCAGGAGCACGTGCAAAGCAGAGCAACAAAGCTCTCACGCCATGACACCAGAAGCAACCATGTGTCAAGACAGAGACAGCCCCGACCAAGAAAAAGTGCGGATCGCAGAGAGAGTGGAAACCGTGTATGGAAAACATGAAACCTGTCCATTGCTCGACCCAGCCACTTTGAACCGTACGAATTCCCGCACAGATCCGCCCAGAGCTACACAGACTGAGGTGACTGCAACCGCAGCAGAGCGTCGCTCGGCCCCCACGGCGACAGCCTCCAGTGTCGCCGTCACGCTTTCCGCCGCAGAGCGTCGCTCAGGTGCGCAAAAGAGGGCCCACGCAGAGCCCCTGGCTGCGGCCCTCCCAGAAGAACCTTTTGCATCCCAATTACCATCCAAGCATGCCACACCCGAGCTCAACATAAGTTGCAACTTAGAGGGAGAAGCTTTTAGTGGTAGAATGAGACCCTCTGTGCTGAGTGCAGATTATGCTAGCGCAGACGTGGTGGATCCAGAGGTTGCTCTTGTCAACAACCTCGCCACCACCACCCATGAGTTAGGGGTCCAAACTGGCACAGACTTTTGGGACCAATGGCGCACCGATTTTCTTCACTGGGCCTTTCCGTTCAGTTTGCCCGCCCCCGCAAGCGGACCAGACTACCCGCAGAAACCCAAGTTTCGCCGGGTTGCAGACGCACCTGTCTTGGGGCCCATGCAACACCTGAAACACATTACCGGTCGAGTGGAAAGCTCCATTCGCAACTCATGGGATCTAGTACCCGGTCTCCGTCGCATCACTTCAAAATGGGCTGCAGTGTGCGGGGGTGCTCTCTGGCGAAGGTGGAACACCAATCGCAAACAGATTGAACCCGTACCGGTCTCCGAATGGGTGCGTGCAGCCGAAGGACTATACCAAAAATTGCGACGCGGAAAGTATGTCTCCGCAGACGGTCGCGAACGACCAATTCAGTATGACACACGCAAATTATTCTTTGCTAAGGGCCTCACCGGACCCGAAAACCAACTGTTGCAAGATGTGCGATCCATGCAGCGCACGATGCCTGGAACCATTGAAGTGCGACGTCGTATTGGTAGGTACTTGTTCGGAGCAAGGGTCGAATTTGGAGAACCTTTGTTCATCACCATCTCGCCAACCATGAGACACAATGCACTATCCTTGAAACTGTCACGCTATCGCACAGCGGACCCGGGCCGCAGCGCCTGCCCGGAAAGCTTCAATCCACCCGTGTGGGAAAGCCATGGAACTGAGATTGAAATCCCTGGATATGACATCCGTCGAGAAATTACAGCTCGAGATCCTTGGGCTGTAGTCCTTAGTTTCCAAACCATGGTGCGTTTCATTTTTGCACAGCTGCTCGGCATCCGAATGTGCTTTCGTTGCCCCACTTGTGATTGTCGAGATCCACAGGGTTACAGCACACATCCCACTGGTGGGGTTTTGGGGTTCGTCCGCGCCATTTGTGGCGCCATCGAGTATCAGGCTAATGCAACACCCCATTTCCATTGTAATGTGTATGCAGAAAGCATTTGGCAGGAACCATTGAGCTGCCTGCTCCAAAAAATCCAAGACAAGCACATCGACTTTGGAGCGTTCCAGCACTTCCACGAATGGATTCACACCGAACAGCATCCCCATCCAGCCGACCACGTGGAGCAAGCATCCTACTTCGAAAGAGAATGGCAAGACAACTTCAGCAAGGCTACTCACAATCTTTTGGGCCAGTGGCCAGATTTCCTTCGAACCTCAACTGCCGAAAGTCCTTGGCTAGAGACCCGCTCGCCCGAAGGAGTGACACAGGAAGCCCGATGTTTCATCCATGCTTACAAACAAGCAGCTCAAGCAAGATTTTCCGCCCAGCAATGCCACTGGCACCCATGGAATCACTCCCTCAAAGCTCGAACTCCTCTTGCCGGGTGCAAAAAAAAAGGGGTGCCCAAACAAATGTAAGCGCGGTTTCCCCAAGAAAATTAATGTGCTACCCCGTGTGGTCTGCCGGGGGAACGCTCGCCGTTTTCAAGTGAGCACAAAAGGGCGTCGCAACGCCTTAGGGTTGTGGTTGGGGACTCGGGAGGACGCCTGGTTGTCCGGAACCATGACCGCCTTTTCCGTGTGGCTATTCGGCAACTCTCACACAGCCGTGAACTATCGGGCGCCGCTTTGTTCGGAGACACATGACCCCGAGTGTCAACGGAACTGCCTCCAGCAGGCGACCGCCGGAAAGCTGCAACGGCTCATGCAGCAGGCGGCGCGACGAGCCACCCGCTACTTCACAGGGTACCTGCAAAAGCCACAACCAGTCGGACGGAAAGAACTGCAGCAAGCCGCCAAACAGCTGCATTTCCTCCACACAAGCACTGGCAAAGATCCGACCGGGGCCCACTATCGCAAGGTGGCCAGTCGCGTGTTTGGCGACCTTGAGTTTCGATGTTCCGTCCGACCAATCACCGAAGAGTTCACGTTAGCTGGTTTCAGTGATGGCCAAGATCCCACAGCTGCCGAGTGTATCCGTTCTTTCCCGACCGTGCCATTCATCGGCATAGAATGGCTGACAATGCTAGACGGCCGGAAGGAACATCGCCACAAGGTCAAACCAGCCGGATACACAACCACTGAGATTAAGTTGTCGGAAGTATACGGATGGCGTGGACAGGATGTCCGAGTGTATTATCTGTCACCCTGGGAATTTGTAAAATGGTGGACCTTGAAAAAACTCCGGCCGCCACCCAACACAGGGCCTGTCCCGTCCGAGTGCTTAAGCGAGTGGATGCCAGACCACGACCTCACCTCCGTACCTGAAGATGGGTGGCAATTTGGCCGAGACTATTGCTGGAAGGAAAACATACCCAGCTCTCTTGCAGAAACGATCCTGCGGCTGCCAGAACAACCATCGGTCGCGGCCGCAGCAGAGTGCTATTTGGAACGACACTCAGAGGCCTTAGTTCCCTATCCAACCAGCTGCCCACTGCCTCGTCCGGACATGTCGAAAGAGGACCAGGCGCGGCTACTGAATGTGTATCTCCGCCCTTGGACTTTGGACGCCAATGCCGTGAGCTTGCATGTGCCACACATAACAGCTTTGGATCTGTCCTTTGAAGCTCGCACCGCCAATAGGCCCACCCACCGTTTGCACACTAAAATTTCTCCCGGTGCGCGAAACCATCAGACCTCATGGAGAGAATACATTCACTCCCACATCGTGTCGCACCATGCAAAACGAACGATCCAAAATTTTTTGGCCGCGGCCGAGTGCTCCCCAGAAGAAACGGACCCAGTAGAAGCCCCCGTAGACCATCCCCACTCGGAAGTTGACACGTCTTGGGTCGATGTGGCCACGGTCCAAAAGTTAACCCAAGGCATTGGTTTCGAGTACTCCAAACGTAGCAATCCCGCTGTGCAACAAATTCTTGCAACCTGGGGGACTCAGACACCAGCTCAGCAGATTGCTTGGAAAGTGAGCCCTGGCATACCCGAACTCCCGCCCTCCGACACTGCCGAGGCAGCGCGTCGCGCCGCTGCGGCGGAGCGGCCGCCAGCCGTGCGATGGATCTATGGGAATCTGAACGAGACAGCAGCTGCCGACTGGCTCCGCAGTTTGCAGCAGGCGGAGACAGGGCCCGTGCCCACGCCCGAACAGAGCCAGTTCCTGCAGGCCATCATAAACCGCTGCTTAACAGAAACCACCGAAGAACAGACCCAGCGGATCGGCAAGAGTGAACCCTGGAGAGGGATTTGCCATGGAGTCCCCGGCGCAGGCAAGAGTCAAACGTTGAAATGGCTCCGACGATTCTTTGAGGAACTCTGCGGGTGGCGCCACCAGACGGAATTCGTCTATCTAGTCCCTCAAAATACACAGGCCGCGCTAATTCAGGGTATGACGCTGCATGCGTTCGCGAACATCCGCATCAAAGCCAAAGGCCAAGGCGGCGAACGAGAGCGGGGGCCCGACCAATTCGTCCAGTACCAACGGTTGCGGTGGCTCGTGCTAGACGAAATTTCCACAGTCGGTCTCGAAGTCCTAGCCGCCCTCGAAAAAAAGGTCGCCCAAGCCACCCGAACAAAAGGCACTTGGAAGAACAATGGCAAGGGCGAGGCGCGACCGTTCGGCGGCCTCAACCTCATCCTGACAGGCGATCTCTGGCAGTTTCCACCCGTGAAGGCCACCGCCATTTTCCAAAACCCCTTCGCCGGGGGCACTTCCTGCCAGGTGGCCGGGCTCCAAAAGGTTTTGTGGTCACGCACTGAGTCCGGTATCCACGCACTCTTCGAGTTGACCACCGAGCAACGTTGCGTGGACCCCTGGCTAAGCCTAGTCTTGAAACAAGCACGCCACGGTTCCATGTCGCAGGATGTCTGGTGCTTTCTCCATGGGTTTCCGACCCGGCGCCCAGGTGCGTGGGACTTCGACACCAAGTCTTGCCTCTGCGGCACGGCTGCCTGCCAGACCCTCCCCCTTGCATGGGCAACTACTCCACATCTACCTTGGGAAGATCGCTTAGAACAAGAATGCCCCCAGTGCCGAATCGAAAGACGGCGCAGGTGCATGCTAGGTCGGGATCCAAAGTCCGCGAAATTTGCGGCGCAACCATTCATCCACGGTCTCAACGCAGCCAAATACATAGCCACTAATCTCAGAGCTCGTGAAGTAGCAGTTAGCAAACAGCAAACCATCCTTTGGGTGATCGCCGCGGACACCCCTCTTTTCCACTTGGACACCGATGCACCGGCTGAGTTGCAAGCTCGGAAGAGCAACTGGCTGCAGCGGCGTGACCAAGCCACCGGTGGGATTGTCGGAATCTTGCCCTTGTTGCCTAACATGCCTATACGAATCACCCAAACCTTACCAGAACTAAAACCGTTTGGACTCTTCAAAAATACCCGTGGCACCCTAAGGTTGGACCTTGCACGAACTTGACATTGCACGACTCTCCCGCACGACACCCGGTGCAGAACTGGTCCTGGAAAAACTACCCTTGGCGCTCTACGTCCAGATTCCGGGTTCGACATGGCAACTACACCCAGCCCTGCCACCTGGCGTCGCGTGCGTCAAACCTACGGTCCAGCAGTGGACCCTGCAGCCAGGGGGCCGCGCGACCATCGCCCGCAGAGGGTTTCCAGTGGCATCCGGCTATTCCGGAACAGCGCATTCCTTCATGGGCGCTACGTTGGAAGCGTGCACCCTGGACCTAGGTTTTTGGGACACCGCCCCGTCACGGGATGCGCAACTCAGCGCATACATGTGCCTCTCAAGAGTCAAACGGTGCGAAGACGTTTGTGTGACCCACGCCTTTTCCCCTAACCTATTTCAAAACGGAGAGCTCACTGGTCCACATACGTATTTGGAGTTCCACCGCAAGAAGCTCTCTCTAGCGCAAGCCAAAGCTCGGTTTGAAAAAGATGCACCCAAGCGAAGACGTCAGCCCGATGTCATGCTCTATTGCCGCAACTGCAGCCCTCGCAGCAATATGCCAGACAGACTTCTACCCCTTCGAGACTTCGTCACTGTCTGGGACCGGGAAGCCTGGTATGAAATTTTGAAACAAGGAATGGACCGTCTTTGCACGCAGTGCCGAAGCCCAGAGTCAGGAAAGCAGCCTCCAACACCAACAGATGCACCAGATGCATGTGCACATTGCAGAGGAAAACACGGTCCCTCCACAAAGGCCGGCTTTTGTCGCCACTGCCTCTCCACAGTGCGTCTGTCCTGTGCCAGATGTGACAAAGGAAAAAAAATACCCACTAAAACCCTACACCAGTTTAGTCCGGATGAAATTCGTCGCAAAAAAGCCACCAACGACGTGCGGCGCGCCCGCTGCCAGACCTGTGTTGCGAAGACGCCTGCAGCCACGGCCAAGCAAGGCCTCTGCATCCACTGCGATAAAGCCATAAGCGTAACCCACCTGCGCAACTACTCTGCTGCAACCAATGCAGGTGTTTGTCTGACTTGCAACAATAAGAACGAACGAGCACCTAAGACTTGTCCCCAGTGCTCCCAACCCGTCAAAGCCGCTGCAACGCTTGGAGCCTGGTGCTTGGATTGCGCATACCCCAACTGCGATGGGTGCGGGACAGAAAAACGGCCCCAGAATGGCAAATACCATGCCAAGCGCAAGCCAGAATGGACTTGTCAAAAATGTCTTACCAAAAAATGCCTCCAGTGCGAGGCCATCCCCGGAAAGTACCAGGGCTGGTGTGTGACCTGTGCATTTCCACCTTGCAGGGGTGGTTGTGGCCAGCCTCGTCCCAACAAGAACCTCAAGTACCATGCCCAAAACATTCCAGAGTGGTACTGTGACACCTGTCGGGATGGTTACCCACCTTGTCCAGGCTGTGGTGCAGCCCGCCCAGATGACCGTGCTTACCATGTGAAAAACATGCCTGAGTGGACCTGTGCAAAGTGTCTCCCAAAAGCGTGCAGTCAGTGTGGCCGAGCCATGCACGGACAGGCAACAGCCGACACATGGTGTCAAGCTTGTGCCTATCCACCATGCGACAAGTGTGGCCGCCCTCGGCCGAAGGCAACAGGGTACCATGCCAAGGTCCAGCCACAATGGACATGCGAGGGCTGCGCAAACAAGTGCTGCTCCACTTGTGGCAAGCCCTTAGGTGCACGAGCCAGAGCTGACGCTCAATGCCCAGCCTGTGCCTTCCCACCATGCAGTGCAGGTTGTGGTGCCGAACGCCCATCCCAGACGAATAACCAGTACCACGTTCGACACCTGCCAACTTGGGTATGCCAAAACTGTCAGACCACAAACGCAGCTGCTCCACCTCATAACACGCAACTTGGAGCCGTACCCAAAAAAAGACGCATGAACTCGTATGAAAAACCTGCCTGAGGGGACTTGTCCCTCCCGGGGTCCTCGAAGAACAAGTGCCGTACTTTGAAACAGTTTCATGACCCTCATTTCCAACCTCCAGCCCTAATGCCCACTCGGACATTGCACGCCCTTGCAGTGTCAGAGATGTCGACGCAGAGTTTTGCCAAACGAAAGCTGTGAGCTAGTGGCCAGAGCGTCGTTCATGCCAGCTACCCACAACCCAGTGATGCCTTGCAATTATTTTGACACAATGCAAATTTTCCTTCAACCTATTTCGTATTGCCAGAACAGAGCTCCGCTTCGCCAGCGGCAAGAGCGTCGCGCACGCCAGCTACCCACAACCCTGTAATGACTCGCAGGTATTTTGATACAATGCGAATTTCCTGCCAGTCTATTTCGTATCACCGGAACAGAGCTCAGCTTCGCCAACGGCAAGAGCGTCGCTCACGCCAGCTACCCGCACTCCCTGTGATGACTCACAGGTATTTTTATACAAGGAGAATTTTCTTCGAACCTGTTTCGTACCAGAAGAAAGCCAGAGGTCAACTTCGCCTCTGGCCAGAGCGTCGCTCATGCCAGCTACCCACACCCCCGGTGATGCCTCGCAGGTATCTGGCGACAGTCAGACTTTCGTTCCAGCCTATTTCGTATTGCCAGAACAAAACCAGAGCTCGATCCTGTTTCGGGCACCCCACTTCGACAGCAACGGCTGAACGACTCCGAGCGGAAAGAAAAAAGGAGCGAATGTGCTTTTCCTTGTGCTTTTTCCTGTGAATGTGGAATGCAGCTGTCTTGTGCTGTGCGCTTTCGTGTCTTTCTTGCACGCGCGACACATTGTACACCAAGACGCAGTAAACCAGAAACAGACAAACAGTTACAAACAAAGCGTGCCAGAACAGAGGTTTGCGCGGGGCCTGGGACATGGGGCATCCCTGCTGTCTTGTGAACGTGGATTCAAGGAGAATTTTCTTCGAACCTGTTTCGTATCCCCAGAAGAAAGCCAGAGGTCAACTTCGCCTCTGGCCAGAGCGTCGCTCACGCCAGCTACCCACACCCCCGGTGATGACTCGCAGGTATCTGGCGACAGTGAGACTTTCGTTCCAGCCTATTTCGTATTGCCAGAACAGAGGTTAGCGCGGGGGCTGGGACATAGGGCATCCCAGCAGCATCCTCCACACGGGAGGAGGCTGACTGCCCTGGCTTCTCTAAGCAGAAGCCGAAAGTCGGGAGAGCCGTTGCAACCAAAAACACTGAAAAAACCTACGTTTTTCTTTTGACATCGCCAAGCTGAAATTCTCGGCTGCCGAGGGGCCCGAAACCCTGTAAAGGGATATGTTGGCTACAAAGAGCTATGTTGGCCCTATGTTGAGCCATCTTGGAGGCTATGTTGGCCATATGTTGGGAATATGTTGGCTATCTAGGGCCTCTGTTGGGGATATGTTAGGAATTATGTTGAAAAAATCTTCCGATACAACTTTTGACGATTTGTTCCTTCCCGCAAACCAAAAACACTGAAAAAACCGACGTGTTTTTTTTTTTTACGTCGCCAAGCTTTTTTCAACATAAATCGCCTAACATATCCCCAACATAGGCCCAAGATAGCCAACAAATCCCCAACATATGCCCCACACTCCAAGATGGCTCAACATAGGGCCAACATAGGCCAACTTGGGGCCAACAGACGCCAACATAGGCCCAACATAGGCCCAAGATAGCCAACATATCCCCAACATATGCCCAACATAGCCTCCAAGATGGCTCAACATAGGGCCAACATAGGCCAACTAGGGGCCAACAGACGCCAACATAGGCCCAACCGAGGCCAACATAGGGTTAACGTGCTCAACCGTAGGATCAATATGGGCCCCAGATGTGCTCTTTGTGGCCAACATATCCCTTTACAGGGTTTCGGGCCCCTCGGCAGCCGAGAATTTCGATACAACTTTTGGCGATTTTTTCCTTCCCGCAAAGCAGAAACCATGAAAAAACCTAGGTTTTTTGACGTCGCCCAGATGAAATTCTCGGCCGCCGAGGGCCCCCAAACCCTGTAAAACACAGTGTTTTTTATACCTCACACACACGAAACCCTGTAAATTACGCTGATATCAGTGACTCGGTGGTCCCCCCGTTTTGGCGACGAGGGTCGGCGGCAGCCGGCGCGACCGTCTATAACCTTCGGTTACCACCGAAGGCCCTCCGGGCATGCCACGGGCGTCCTGGCCGGCGCCCGGATTATAGCCGGTCGCGCCCCCTGCCGCCGACCCTCGCCACGAAAAACGGGGGGACGTCCGGGTCATTGAAGCCCCTGTAATTTACAGTGCATCGTGGGTGTGAAGTATAAAAAACAGTGTTTTTCAGGGTTTATTGCGCATATCGAAGCACGACGCGGCGAAGATGGAAAAATGCAAAAGCGCTGTGTTTTTCAAGGGTGGTGTCGGGAATGCGCGCCGGGCGGACAGGCATAATCGACATTTTGTGGGTAGAGGCCTTCTAGACGATTTCAATTGCCTAACATATCCTCAACATAGGCCTAAGATAGCCAACATAGCCTCCAAGATGGCTCAACATAGGGCCAACAGACGCCAACATAGGCCCAACCTAGGCCAACATAGGCCTAACGTAGGCCAACATAGGCCCAACATAGGCTCAACATGGGCCCAAGATATGCCCAACATAGACCACATGGGCCCAACTTGGCCCAACCTAGGGCCAAGATGCGCAGCAGATAGCTTAACTTGTGCCCAGACCCCGGCCCCCGTCTCCAACGCCGAGCAGTTTCCCACCTTGCCCCCACCCAGGGGCCCTGTACGCCCCCGATAGCTGCACGTGCACCCGACCCAGCCCTACACAGACCTAGTGTGCCGGCGCCCGGCTGTTAGGCGTAAGCCTTTAAGTTATTTGAAGCTTTCTTCACAGCAAAGCCACAACGTGGCTCTACTTTTGAGGCGATGGAACAAAAACTCTAGGACTAACAGTCTGGCGGCAACAGAAACATATCGTAAGTTATTAAAGCAAAGGCTACTGCTCGTAAGGTTGACGGTGTAATTATGATATGACACATATATATATATATTGTATATAATATAGTAAAATCAATACGCATGATTTAATATCCAAGATTGTGCATCCAATACGGCGCAAAATGATGCGTGGAGTGTGCAAACTTCTGCTTGAACGGCAATCCTCCTAAGGGTAAGTCCGTAGAAAAACGATGAAAACATCAACATATCAGCAACCCGCAAAACACTCTCACAAAGAAGGTGGGAACACCTTGGCAAACGTTGCCCCAACAATGAGAGTAAAGCATTACACGTTACACAAAAAAGTCCATCGCCAATTACAAAGGTTTTTATCAACAGCTAAAGCTTGAGCACCTCCCAAGAACAAGTCAAAAAAGCGACATCGCCAAACTCGCAATGGAAGAAAAGCATCAACACGTGCCGCAGAGTTCTGAAAATGGGCCTGGTATTCTGTGGTGGTATATAAGTTGGTGCTTCGATCTGAATGTTGTAAGCTCAGTGATGATTGATATGGGTGTTGCTCAACCGGAGAGGAACCACACTCTGGCATGTGGCATACTTTCTGATGCCGGTATCTTCACTCCTGATATTGGCACACATATCTTCACGCGGTAAAGTAATTGTTCTATTTTGGTAATTGATCTCCTCTTCCGCTTCCTTTTTCCATTCCGCCCACTCATCATTCCTCCTTCGTTCCCTTCCATCGCTTCATCCTACGACTTTCTGTCTGAATTCCCATCTCCTCTTTCTCTTGCCTTTTCACTGTCTATAATTCTCTGTTTCCTTGAGAGGCGCACACGCTCTCTGATGCTGTGTTCTGATGCTGTGTAAGCAGGTTCGGAAAGTTCCAGTGTCAACTGTCAACCCTCCAGCAGACTTACTAAATTAATTGTCAGAGCAGCTTAATGCTCCATTTGTCGATGTATGAACAGTAACAAATAAATGTGCAAAACAGCATTTAGGACAAAGGGACATGAAGGCGTACAAGAACTTTAAGACAAAATTGGGGTTCAAAGAGTTTGACACCAAATGTGTCATTCTGTTTTTCGGTACAAAAAAACATCCATATGTTGAAACAAAAGGCAATGAAGGCTCACAAGAACGTGGGATGAAAAGGAGCTTGAAACAACGCACTTTCCATGGGTTTTAGCATGCGAATTTCAAACAGCGGGGATGAACACAATATGCCAACAAAGATTTATAATCACCAAAATGAAGGTCTTAGTTGTTCATTATTGTTCGCGTCATTTTGGTGTTTGACCTGGATTGGATGTCCTTGGCATAAAAGGTACAAGTTGGAAAAGGAGTGAATACCCGAGTTGAATATTCTCAACTCCTGGGTTAATTCTTTATCTTTTGGTACTTATCAGCTACCCCCTGAGAAGTATTAACTCCCAAGTTAATTCTTGGTACCATCCCTATTGTAGAAGAATCAACTCAGGATTTAATTCTTTTTATGTGCCCCCCTACCCAATGTGGTACTTTATTGCTATTTGGGTCCCTTCAAAAAGAATTAAATCCGGAGTTAATTCTTTTCCAAGGCTGCCATGTCCCACCAATCCTCCAACAATCTTCTAATTTCTCTCTTTGTCATACAAACCATCTAGAGCTAGACTTTCTTTCCAAGTTAGTAGAAAGATAGACAAGGATAGAAAGACAGACAGGCAGAGAGAGAGAGAG